TTCCCTAAAAGCTTCATTTACTAACGTTTGGCCTTTGTTGATAATGGATGTTAGCGCTACTCTACTTTCTAACTGTTTTATTTGCCAAGCTAATAATTTTCCCGTTTTGTCACCTTGTTCATAAAATGTCTGTTTTAGCCTTAGCAGGCTGGCAGCAGCTTTGGTACTTGATTGTTTTTCATATTCAGCCCTTAAAAGCAATAACTCTTTTTCAGTTTCAGGATCACTTTTTTCATAAATCTTCTTCTGAATGTTTTTTAATTTATCTTCCAAGCGCAATTTGTCCCGTTTTGCCTTTTTAGATTTACAGCCTGTGTAACTAATAATGTGCCCCCTTAGAAATGCTTTAAAGGCATCTCACTCTGTGCCTGCCGACGTTTGGGTAGTATTTATAGGAAAAAAATCATCTATTTGTTTTCCTATATAAATAACAAACTCCTCTTCCTGCAGCCATTTATGTTGAAATCGCCATCTAGGTGGATCAAACTGTATGGATTCATCCATATATTCTAAACAACATGGAGCATGATCCGAGATCACTATGTTGTCATAGAAAAAATTTCTAAGCCTGGATACCAAATCAGAAGAGATTAAAAAGTAATCTATACGTGAATATGTCCGGAAAGTTGCTGAATAACAGGAATAAGCTTTAGTTTGCGGATGTTACTCTCTCCAAATATATAGCAGTTTAAAATCTTTCAGAAATCTTTTAATAGCCAATCTGCTTGAGTTATGCGATTGATCAGTGCCTGTGGACCTATCCTAACTTGGGACATGGGTACAATTGAAATCACCAGCAATTACATAGTGACCCGGCAGTGTTGCAAGTAAAAGGAAGAGGTCATCGTAAAAAGCGGAGTCATCCAAATTTGGACCATACACGTTTACTAAATGTATGTGTTCATGCAGCATAGATCCTTGAATGATCAAATATCTGCCTCTCTTATCTTTAATTGAATTAACGTTCAATGGAACTGATTCATGAATCAAAGTCATGACGCCCCTTGCCCGTGAAGAAAATGCTGATTTATAAACATTACCTCCCCACCTCCTCCTAATCCTTTTTTTCGTCTTCCTCTACTAATTGTGTATCCTGCAGAAATACAAATTTTTAGTCCATGTCTTTTAATTTAGTCATAACCTGTTTAACCTTTTTGAATCGTTGAAGGCCCCTGCAGTTCCGAGTAACTATTTTTATATCTTTTCCATGTACCATTTTCCATCCATCCATTTTCTTCCCTTTAATCCATTTCTGGGTCAGGGGGGTGGCAGTCAGAGAGACCACCCAAGTCTCATAGCACCAGCCCCTCACTGACCCTCTGCAGGTGGTGAGTCCACAGGAGGACGGCTGCTCTCTGAGTGTGAGCATAGCTTTGATCTTTTTATATCTATTACTATCTATATCTATATACTATTTTTATATCTTTTCCATGTACCATTTTGATTAACTAAATTCTACTTAACAAAATAATAAGAACAACTCATCACTACCAGACAGACATCTTTTCTGAGCTTATTTAAATACACTTGCATTTTCCTAGGAAGCTTAACATGACCCAACATTTGAACACAATAACTAAAAACAAAACCCCACCCCTTCCCCAACCTCTGCAGGTCTCCCACCCTCCCTTTTACGTGTCCCGTTACTGCGTGCGGCTGATCCACACAAACCAGATCCATTCTCCTTCGTAGCGCATGTCTGATTTCGCCTTTGAAGTGTTCAGGACAGCCTTCCTGTCCCTGTAGTTGAGAAAACGCATTATCAGAGTGCAAGGTCTCTCTCTGCCGTGTTCTTTCCGTGGGCCCATTCGGTGCGCTCTTTCAGGAAACATCGGGGTCTGAAGTGAAATACTCAGGATCTCAGGAATCCACCTTTTCAGAAACTTGCACGGGTCTCTTCCCTTAGTACCTTCAGCCAAGTTAACAAGCCTAACGTTGTTCCGTCTTGACCTTGATTCCAAGTCCATTACTTTGTCTTCCAAGATTTTCTGCTTCGTCTCCAGTGCACTAACTTTAGCCCGCAAGGTTTCAACCTCATCTTCATTGTTAGATATGCGGGTTTCTGCCTGTGTCATCCTGTCGAAGATGATCCAAATCCCTTTTATGGCAGTAACTATGGATAGTATTTTATCCACTTTACTGCTCTGGGTTCTGTCTTCGCTCGCTTCCCTTGTCGCCATTCCGGGTGGAGAGGGAGTTGCTACCGCTAGCATTAGCTTTCTGTGCCTCGCTGCGATGGCCATAGTCCGTTAGTTGATGCTGTTTAATCTTCTCGCTGGCATCTTGGCTTACTTTGCTTCTATTTGCTGGAGACATTGTTCCATCCAACAAAGGAAACAATAATCCGCGGCAAAGAATGAAATATTGGTTAATAATTTGAGCACGAGCAGCGGAGCGGTCTAAAGCAAGTCTTCCCTACATGGCCGCCATAACCGGACTCAGCCAAGCCATCTCCTTTTCCGCTAACGTAGCCCGTGGGGAGTAGCGCCCCAATTTTTTTTACAGCGATTACATTTGCTAAACATTCCTCTTGCTCTGGCTTCAATATCTTGATAGAACCAGACGGGATTACTTTTCTATCGCATTCTTCGCCATTGCCAAACTACAACCTTCTCATTGGACGCAAACTTGATGTCACACACATCTAACTACAACACCCGCCTCCCGCGTTCGCTGATTGGTCGGTCGAAATTCAACCGATTGTAATCGCTAACATGGGGACCAGACCCAGACTTTACATGCAGGGAAATGATGATTGAGCGGAGTGTACGGATGGCTAAGGCCAGGCTAGGTCTGCCCCAGTGTTTTTCAACCAGTGTGCCGTGGTATGTCGGTGTGCCTTGAGATATTTATTAGTGTGCCTTGGAAATGATCCAAAATCACCTGCTTTGTCAAAACCATGTGAAAAGAAAAGAATGTGAGATGATTAGAAATACTTTTTTTGTGCTTGTTTACAGTATATCAGTTTTGTATCAGTTTCCGCTGGTGGTGTTCCATCGGATTGTTGGATTGTTTGCAATGACCAAGGTGTGCCACAACACAAAAAAGGTTGGGGAGCACTGTTTTGAAGTCAGTGAACCTGTATCTAGTGTAAAATTGTTTTAGATTACCAATGCAGTAGTGTAAATGTTTCATAATGAATTTAAATTTTGAAAAGTCAAATAATAAGAATAATTTCAAATATATAATAATGATACACAGGTCAGGGTTTATAATTGAATCAAAAACACACATGTTTTATTAAAGAGAAAATGTATTCATCCCCCACTGTAAAATTCAGGTAGTTCATACATTAGAACAATATATTTTGCTGTTTCTACAAATCTCATTCTCTGGCGGGAACAAATGATCACAAACAGCATTTATAAACTAATCTTAAACTAATCATAATCTAATGAAACCTAATTCTCAGTGTCTGTGGAAAACACTTTGAGAACTCACACACTGACTTCTATCACATGCTTTCTTCAGCTCCCGTTGACCCTTTAAATGTAACTTTATCCTGTTTTTATGCTATGTTTAATTTCGCAAGTCACTAAGAAAGCAAACACGTTTTCCAGTCCATCCGCCACATGAGATTCAAACCAGATTTTCGGCAGCAATTTTACATTCTTGTGTGAGTAAGCCGAAAAGTAAAGGCAAGCCAGTGTGGTGAACTTATGACATAAAGAGGACTTCTCCAAACAAAGAGCTGCTTTATGTCGAAGCAGTTACGCAATGCACTGTCTCCACTCCTAACACAAATAGAAATATAACATTTAAAGTTTACAGGTGGTTAAGAAAAACACACACATGCCTGCATTTACAAACAGTAAATATATAGTCTATTTATAATGGTTAAAGTGGCCTCAAAAACAACTAAAGGATTTTAAGGTTTTTAATTCCTTACGTGATTTTGTTCTCTATTTTTGTAATATTTCTTGTTAAAGTTTGTTTTTAACCATATTTTATAGTTTATGATTTATGCTTGATGTGATGTGGGTTGTGAGGCGCTTTGTGTTGCCTGGTGCAGGAGAGGCGTTCTACAAATAAAGTTTATTGATTGAAATTTGATCAAAATCCACTTGTGAGTCCAGGATTTTGTGAGATTACCACAAAGATTACAGTATTAAAAGTGTAGTGGACCAAATACAATGTTTTTTGACTATTTACGTAAGATATATATTTATCTATATTTGGGCATCGTCTGGTCCTCCCAGTTCTGCGCAGTGGATTATCTCCCATGATGCGTCGCACCAAATACACGAGTGTGGCTTTCATGCATGCGCACAGAGGGCAGGGAGCAGAGTTTGTGGCAGTAAAGTGTGGATTTAAAGAAAACAGAAGGATTTAAGAAGAAAAAAAGTTCAGGATGACAAGGGACACTAAAATCCCCACAAAATCCGATCTTTTTGAAAGCTGTAGGTTCTCTGTCAGCTGAGGTCGTGCTGTTTTAATTTACATTGAGTTCTATGGGACTTTTTTCTGGGTAGCCCTCGTGGTATCTGCAGTACCACGGGCGCCCCCTGTGCCCATAGGTGGGACAGCTGTAAGCTAGTAATACCCTATCCAGTTATTATTATAGATCCATGGTTGGTACACTCATTTTCACATCAATGTATTTTTTAGCCTCTAGATCAGCCTTTTCAGACAGAAAAGTGAAAAAAGACATTGGTCATCTTCCCCTTCTGGACTAATCCCAAAGTGTTTTCTGTTTTATTTCTTGCGTTTGAACTGTTTGATTCTCTGATCTATGTTGGCAAATTCAACGGTTGTGTAAAGTCCTCCGAGATAACTACTGTTACACAACATTATATTGAATTGAAGAGGACCACCCTCACAGGCACTTGTATGCAAAGATAGTGAATCATTTTCTATTTGTGGTCCATTTCAGATTTTTAGTATCCTGAAAAACGTTATGTTAAAACAATGCATTATTATTATTAGTTGTTGATGTGTGTGACACTTTGTTGGTGCCTGAATGCGTCTCTTGAGAGTGTCCTGCTCCTTGTGTCCCGCAGAGATCTACACGATCCAGGGGAACTCTTACGGCCGGCCCTGCTTCCTGCCGTTCCTCTATGACGGGCAGTGGTTCCACAGCTGCACCACCATCGGCCGCGAGGACGGACACCTGTGGTGCGCCACCTCCTACGACTACGGCAAAGACGAGCGCTGGGGGTTCTGCCCCGTCAACAGTAAGAGCAGCTTTTTCTACTCACTCAGGTCACGTCATAAACACAACAGAGTTATACAGTAGCAGCTTCTATTAGCTTAGCTTATTAGTTTAAATTAGATATTAGGGTTTTGTAACCCTAGTATCTAATCTAAGCCTTCAATGCTAACAATGACAAAAGTAAGTCAAAGATTACTTGAATTTGATAGTAGTTAATTGGTCAAGATTTTCCATCAGGACAAGCACAAATGCCTGATATCTGTTGTCCAATTGATATATCAAGCTTAAAGCAGTCAAAAATACTGTTACTTGGACTGAGATAAAAATAAATTTCTACTGAAAATGGATCTGTTTCTGCAGCGTGAAGAATCTCTCAAAATTCAAAAGACAGATAAACCATTCCTATATTCATATTCCCATGTTCAGTTGTTTTTACTAAATGTTCAACATTCTCAATACATTATTTATTCAAGGTTTAGGGTTTGGCTTTTGGGAACATGCTCATGAAAATTAGCCTCTCTCATCCAAAAGGGGGAACCAAAGGTGCTCCATTCAACCAACTTAGATTGTGATTATCTAGAATTGAAAGTGAATCATATTCTTTATATTCCTGTATATGGAGACTAGACTCTGTTGGCCTGCAGATGATATGAAAAGTAAAACTGGGCTATTGTCCGGGTTAGGTCCACGGTGCTCCAGGCTTTAGGAACCGCTGATCTAGAACTGAATAGAATAGAATAACTTTATTGTTTCTTGCCTAGTGATGAGAGGAATGTTTCTTTGGCTCGCACTTTCACAGATCTAATCTAAACATATCTAATCTAAACAGATCTAATCTAAACAGATCTAATCCAAACAGATAACACTTCAAACTGGTGAAATAAATTAGATCACATATGCCAAATGACTCTGTCCTACGCAGAAGTAGTTCAAAATAGAATTATAATCTGAATTCAAGTTATTTAAGTCACTCTCTGTTTGCCTCTTTCAGATAAAGGCTGTGAGACGTTCTGGGACACGGACCCTCTCACCGACAGTTGTTACCAGTTCAACCTACAGGCCACTCTGTCCTGGAGCGAGGCGCGCACCAGCTGTCACCAGCAGGGGGCAGACCTCCTCAGCATCAACAAACTGCACGAGCAAACCTACATCAACGGTACGGCCGCACACGCACAGAGCACAGTATATCTGACTTACACAAGGGATAAGTGACATTTTATCTCCTGAAAAGTAGTAGTTAATGCTGTAAACAAAATCTGAATTATACCAATCAAATCGATATTACTAAATATTGCATTATTGGTCATAACTAAGTTCCTTACCGATGCAGGAAGGTCTAAGGACACTGAAGATCCATGACATTTAACAACATTTAAACACTAGTCATTCTGCTCCCTATGGACCAATGGCTCCTATGTTTTTGTTGTTATTGCATTTCTTGTGTTTGAACTGTTTGATTCTCTGATCTGTTGGTGAATCGACAACTGTGTAAAGTCCTTCAAGACGACTTATGTTGGGATTTACTTTTCAGTGAAAGTTAATGAAGCCAAAGCCAGCATGTCGTTCGGTCCATCCCTAATATACAGTGCAATTCAAATTGGAGAAATAAAATTCAAAACGTTAGTTATAGATGCGTCTTTGAGTGTCCAAAAAAAGTTCTACATAAAACCAATGCATTATTATTATTATTATTAGATTCATGAGTGCAACAGTGTGCAATGACTTTGGGTGGCAGCTCTCATTGCCACCCCCCACAACCCAGAAATGGACTAATAAAGGGGAAGAAAGTGAATGAATGAATGAACATTAGTTATAAGAACCGAACGAGCTTGTGATTTTATTCTGATTGCATTTTTTTTGGATTTACAAAGCTCCCACCCTTTATACATGCATTATTACCCTGTGAAAGTGTTTCCATTGACCTGAGCCTGACTCCGCTGCTTCTGCTGTGTCATTGATGTTCCAGAGAGAAATGATTGATCTTTTTTCTCCATGAGGCAGAGCTGTGATCATGAGTGGAGGCCTGAGCCGGGTCCGGAGCCCACTCTGCTTCAAAATCGTGAAGCAGCTTTTTCACTCACTACACGATAAAATACTTCACCTGCTCTATCGTGAAGCACCGGGATGTGTTTTGTCAGATCAAGCATCATTTCACTGGTTCCTGCTAATCATAAACAACAACGAGTGTTTTGTTTGTTGTTTTGCTGTTTCTTGTTTGTTGACAACATTGAGCACTTGGAGTTGGTTGCTATGACAACTGTGTAAACTGTGTATCAGCTGAATTTCACATAGATAGATAAATAGATAGATAGATACTTTATTGATCCCCCATAGGAAAAAATCAGGTGTCCAGTAGCAGCAGAACAAATAGATCATTATAAAAATAGCAAACAATTGAATTAAACGGAATAAGTGACATGAACTAGACCTCAAAGTGATCTGTTTATTCTAACTTAATGACGTTGTGGGGACAGACAGTTCTCACTTCATCTGTTCATTTTATTCTCAACAGATAAGAAGAGATGAACATTCTTTACCTTCGCTGGTTTTTGTATTTCATGAAATTGCTTTGAAATGTCTTCGCAGGGTCTGTGGAGCGTACTTCCTGTTTGTATGTGAAAACTTTAGCTGTAATTTATTATTGTCAACTTGTGAATGATGGTGACTTATCCGTTGCTGTGAGAAGTTTCAGAGCAATTTGGTTTGTTAATGATTAAAAGAAACTTCAGATATTTCATGTTGTTGTTAGAGCACATGAGAAGCTTTGAAGCTGAGGTCCGTAACTTTAAAACGTCACAAAATTGAACAATGTTGTACAATTCATGTTGTTTATAACTCTAAAACAACTTTGTTCTATCACTATATTTATGCATGTATTTTTGGCCTATGTCACATCTTAAGATAATTTGTTTTGGGACAGAAAATGAAAAAGAGAGAACCACCCCCACTCAGCCAATCAACTCTCAACCCAGAGTCAACCTGAGTCTTCTTATAATAAAGCAGCAGTTCTTGGTCTGCTGACTTTTACTTTTACAAGACTCTTTCTCTTTGGACACAGAACTTGGATTTTTAATGAAAAATAGTTAGTTACCTCAGCTTTTATTTGAGTAAAGTTGGGGTGGGCATTTTTTAATATCAATCAAAAATGTGTGGCTCTTGTAAAACCTACTCAAGATAAAATGAGTGAAAATGATGCTTTGAAATCTGTTATTGTGGTCATATAGATAGATAAATATATAGACAGTTATAGACAGATAGATCTCACAAGGGGACATTCAAGTGACCATCCGACCACAAACAATAGTTAGACATGAACATAAATAGTAAACTTGTATCTTAAACATTTACCTGCTTGAAATAAACAAACAAATGCAGGAATTTGCGCTCAAATGCTATCTTTTTGTGTTGCAGGTTTGCTGACGGGCTACAGCGCTGCTCTGTGGATCGGTCTGAATGATCTGGACGTGAACGGAGGCTGGCAGTGGACAGATTCATCACCGCTCAAATATCTCAACTGGGAACAAGGTGTGAACACTGTACTAATGCTGCCACATCCTCTGGCCATGTATCGATGTATTTATCTATGTAATTAGGACGTTCATGATGGTCATACTATCGATCAGTGCAATATAAGTAAGACCACTCCCATAACAACATTATATAACGTTTTCCCTGGTCATGGAAATAGATTGTGTATACAAAGTTCAAAACAGTTAAAGCTGTCCTTGAAATGTATTGAATAAACTGTGACTGAACGAAGAGTACGAAAGTCACTGTGCACGTTAAAGTCAGGGGCTTTTATACTTAAGTATTGCTTCTTCATCAAGCTAAAGTTGGATATTGTTTTTTTAAAGATAGAGATTTTATACTGCTTTCTTACTGATTTTATTATATTTTTTATTTTAGTAAAGAGGTATCATGCATGGGCGGCACAGTGGCTGAGAGGATAACACTCTCGCTTCTCAGTAATAATGTCCTGAGTTTTTGCATGTTCTGTGTGTCTGCGTAGGTTTCCTCCAGGGGCTCCAGTTTCCCCTACCACTAAAAACATGTATAATAGGTCTGGCATGTGCTTCCTGTATGGCGACGTTGCTCCCAGCGGGTGACAAATGCCCACAACCATTGTAATGCGCTTTGTGACTCTGGTCTGTTAAAGGCACTATATGAATAAATATGACTTACTTACTTACTTCTGTAACTTGTGATGCAACACTGAAAATTCCCCCACTGTGGGACGAATAAAGGATCTCTTAATCTTAATCGTAAATTATGGGAATGTCTCATCTATCACTTCATTACTTTTGGAGATATTTTCTTTCCCCACTGCTTCCCTAATAAATCATTTTTGATACAAACATGTGCAGCCCGTTACGCTTTATATCAGATATGCAAGCGTTCTAAAATCATCTCACCATTTCCATACCCAACGCTTACGCACGTTATGTTGTATCATTATTGTTTGCGTTCTCAGACCAGCCGAGTTCTGACGACGAGGAGAACTGCGTGGCGGTCCGCACAGAGTCCTCGGGTCGATGGCAGAACAGGGACTGCTCCGTCGCTCTGCCCTACGTCTGCAAGAAGAGGCCCAACGCCACTCTGGACCCCTTCACCACCGGTCAGTGCCCAAGACCAGAGAAAAGAAATCTCAAAATATAGAAGTCATTTTTGCAGTTATTTTATTAGTTATGATTTAAGAGATGGATTAAAGAAAATGGATGGACGGATGATTTAAGTTTGTGTAAGCTCTCAGTTGTACAGGGATTTAAGTTATCAGATATCAATCAATCAATCAAACTTTATTTATAAAGCGCTTTTCATACAATAAAATGCAACACAAAGTGCTTTACAGCTGAGTCAAAATCAATACAACATGCCCAATAAACCCCAAAGATCCACCCATAAACCACCCTAATTATTATATATACATCGAGATGCATATACCCGTACACACACACACACGCACACACACACACACACACTCACAAACACACACACACACACTGAGACATATAAAATCACAACAGACAGGTAAAATAGGTAAAACTATGAAAAGATATAGGGCTGGGTGCGGATGTATCCAGCTGAAGAAGCGCCATCCAGGGAGCCATCTGCACCAGGAGCAGAGAGCTCAGGGGACAACACAGGACCCAGAGGAGAGATATAAGTTATAATATCAGGCTATGGCCTTAAAAAATGTCAAATCAATTACATTTTTGTTCAGCTGTCGTCCAGAGCGGCTACATAAGAATGTTGAAGATGCTGAAATTAGAAAATATGACCAATGTCGTCATACTGCTCGCTGGTCTCTGACCTGTGTGGCAAGTGCTCATACAGTACATGTGTTCGACAAATGTGTGGGAAAGTAACTCAAAAAGATGATCTATCGCATACCAAAAAGCTCTTGATGAGGTTTGAACGAGAAGGGAATCATTTTAAAACTCAGAGGGCATTGCAGACTCAAAATAGATGCCCAAAATATTGTTAATTTCATGACATTTTGGGCCATTATATCCTTCATCAGATCATTTTTGGACCATCATATACAAATATGCAGACTATATGTATGTTGAGGTCCACAATGTCAATAAATAAGTAATTTGCATGTGTTTTGAGTCTGCAATGACCTCTTGGTTTTTTTAGGAAGTGAATGATAATCATAGACTGTTGCAAATCATGGTTTGCCATAGTTTGAAACATATACACAATTATTTTTTTATTAATGATTGTTTATACGACACCCCTGAAGATGCACTGGGGATTCCGGCGTGTGCGTGGAGAGTGTGTGCACAGTAAAAACAGAATGTGGCTGTGTTAATGTGGCTCCTATAGTTGAATTTTAACTATATTATAGTTGAAATCAATCAAATATACTCTTTGGTTAGAGTTAGATTTTTAGAGTAAATTCAGCTCAATATTGTGCTATATAAGCTTGAGTAGACTACAGTAGAGTGGTCGGTATATTTGACATTTGACACTTCTGTGGAGTTGAATTTGTCACTGCGTCTTTGCCGATTTTTACACTCACTTTTGTACTCCACAAATAGGGAAGTCAAGTTTATTTGTATAGAACAATTCATACACAAAGCAACTCAAAGTGCTGAAAAGAAACACTCACACAAGGCATACAAATCAGAGTACATCAAAAAGAGAAAATAATAAATTCCTTAGTTGAACAAGTACATGGAGCTAATAGAGCAAATTTACTCTCCATAATATTGCAAATACAACTGTACTCTTAAGTATTAACATCCCTATTTTTACAGTACAATTGTGAAAACGACTTTGTGACTGTGGAAAGCGCGACATACATAACAAATATAAATGGTGTTGTGTTCAGACTCGTGGGCGGATGACGAGCGGCACGACTGTGACGTGGGCTGGCAGTCCTTTCAGGCCGGATGTTACAAACTGAACTCGGAGAAGACGGACTGGGACGCGGCGCAGAAGAACTGTCAGAAGATGGAGGCCAACCTGGTCAGCATCCACACGCTGCCCGAGCTCGAGTTCCTCCTCCGCCACGTCAAGAGAGGTCCAGTTTCCCTTCTTTTTCCCTCTGTAAACCGCATCAGTAGATATTAGCCGTTATACAGTAGGCTTTTATTATCATTAAACATTCATTAATTAGAAGAACAAGTATAAAGAGCTAGTATGCAATGCAATGTAATACAGATAGTGGACATTAGTGTGAATTTTAGAAAATGATGCTGTTGAGACCATTTAATGACGAATATTAACTCCATTATAGTTTCTCTCATACATACAGTAGAAGTTGTGTGGTTACTTGAGGATTAAATACAAGAAAAAAAACAAAAAACATTTCAGGTTCCCACACTGGTATCGGCTCATATCAGTGGATGTTGAGAGCCAAAGTATTGGTATTAGATATGAAAAGTCTGGACCTGTGCATCTCTATATTGAACCAGTTAAAAGTGGATGGATGGATGGATGATTTTTTATTTAATATTAAATTATTATTTTTTTGCACTGTCAGTAATCGCTCTTATGTATACTGTATGCTCGACATTTTAATACATGGGAAACTCGTAATGTTAGAATATAGTTCAAAAGTCCATTTACTTGTGAAACAAATGTAGACTCAAATATCAAGCCTTATTATTTGTTTCTTATGATGTTGAAATTTGGCTCACATCTGTAAAAACCCCAAATACAACATATCATAAAACAGACTGTTAGCCATAATCATCAAAAATGATAACAAACTAAAAGGCATATGCCACTTTGCATTTCATGAGTTTATGTCATGTATTGGTTTCACAGTTTCAATTAAATTAAAATTTTGAACAATATTCTAATTTTCCTTTTAATTCACTTACATTTTTTGTATAGCCCTATATACTTTTCTTCTTATTATGCCAAAGGTAGAGATTTGATACTTCTTTATTATACTAAAGTCAGAGTTTTTTGTACTCATAATTCTAAAGATAGAGATCTTTTACTTGTTTCTTCTTCATGCTAGAGTTAGAGATTTTTATTTTATTTTATCTAGTACAGTTTTATTGTTCATTTATCTTGTGCTGTGCTCCTCATTCCTACTGTTCTGTGGGGAAACGTTGTCCCACACTGAAATTTCACCACTGTGGGACGAATAAAGAATCTCTAATCTCAATCTTAATCATAACAGTAATTATCTCGGAGGACTTTATAAAGTTCTCATTCCACCAACACAGATCGGAGGAACAAACAGTCCAAACACAAGAAATACATGATAAAAACCACATAAGAGCCATTGGTCTAATTCTCCAAGCTTCACCTGTACGTTCTAAAATATGACTGTTAAAACGCAAAGAGAGAGAGAGACAAAAACCAAAGTAAAAAGTCTGTGACGGTGGATTATGCCCCGTGCTTCTCAGAGAACGGTAAACTGTATCATGTTACTATTTAATTCTCACTCTCGCCGCTGTTGACTCCACTGGGCGTCTTGTTAGAGCACGTCGCTGCTCAAATAACCTGTAATTATTTAACAGTGCGTTTATGTGAACCCTGAAACACTTACTGAGCTCTGCATGCTGGAGCTGGGGCCGCTTTGATTTCTCACCGCTGATGCCAACATGCGTGCAGCAACAGTGTCATTAAGCCCATTGTGTCCTTTGAATTCAATTATAGCCCCCACATGAAAGATTAGAGAAAGTCTTTTTTAGCATATGCCAAGTAGTGCTGAGGAAACTTTTTCTAATGGGGAATTTATAAACTGCAAAACCATCAAAGCACAATTACGCATTAAGTATTAGTCTTGGAAAGTGTTGTGTGTTCTTTCCTCATAATTCTTGAATTCATCGCGTAATATGTAAGGGATAATGTATATTACGCAGGTCATTATCGGAAAATAAGTACCGACAGGGCGAAGAGGACCCCGACACACAGCGGGGGGTGTAGTCGTGTAATAATTATACGGCTTTGTACAAACAGAACACACAAAATAAACTTCAGTCCACTTTTATGAATGTCGAAAGGTTTATTTAATGACAGAAAATGAAATAGTTCCCAAAGGTTTTCCCGTGGCTATGCAAGTAACAGTTATATGACTTGGATCGTTCGCACGCTCTGATTGGTTGATGTGCGGTCTGATATTTTCCCATCTCGGACCGTTACCATGACAATTGGTCCGCAGCGCATATCAAATTTGACATCTTTCCTCGGTAAAGAAAGAATGAGCGACGACTTCGAGGACCCAGAGGAAGTAACAACTGCAAATAATGACAAAAACACAACTCCTAACAGAGATTGACAACTTCGTTACAGACCAGAAAGCTAAACGCACGGTTAGGAAAACCAAGTCGGAGATCGAAATTTGCATAAATTAATAATAGTCTTATAATAAAACATTTATTAACCTCGCGCTTGTTTAATAAGCCGTTAATAAAAAAAAAACCTTTATTCATTCCACGTTGGGGACATTTCAATGTTGCAGTGCATGGTAGTAAGGACAGTAGGGCACACTGGAAGCACACAAAATATACAATATAAGTAGCTGCTATGCTTCTTAGCTAGCTGTAAATACTTCAATATCAACATATCAATATCTCTATCTATCCTTACATTTATATATAGTGTAAAATTATAAACATATAGGGCAGGATCAAGATAAGGTGACATTCAGTTCATATTGCGACTTTGAATTCATTGAGGTATGCACAAGTCATTTTTCCTAACCAGATATTAAAACCGTGGTATCTAAAGTTCTAAACCACTGTCCATTTAACTTTGTAATAACATCTGTCTAACTCAGGCGTGTCAAATAATTTCAGAAAGGGTCAGTATGGCTGCAGGTTTTCATTCTAACCAAGCAGGAGCACACCAGACTTGATCTTGTGTTCTTTGAGGATTGGTTTGACACTTCTGGTCTAACTATTGCCTGGTTCTTTCACAACAGTTTTCACATGGATGTAGTTTTGGCCTCTGTCACAGCTTTTCAGATTGAAACGAGAGGACCACCCTCACTCAGCCAATCAGCTCTTAACCCAAAGCATCAGATAGTGGCTCACATCAGGGCTCTTTTCTTCCAAGTATGCAAGATATAAAATGTTCTGACTGAATGCTGTTGCCGGATTTGGTCACTTTAATTTAACTTTTACAACACTCTTTCTATCCTGGTGAAACATCAAGTGTTATTCAGCTGCACAGTCATATTAATACATTTAGTTTCCCATAATAAATCTGGTGACGTCTGTCCAGATGTGGAGCAGCTGTGGCTGGGTCTCCATGACACTAACATGCAGATGGACTTCCAGTGGACCGACCACACGCCCGTCATCTTCACCCACTGGCACCCGTACGAGCCCAACAACTTCCGCGACACCCTGGAGGACTGCGTCTCCTTGTGGGGCTACGTGAGTCACATCTGCACCGATCCAACCATTAACACAACCACCACATGTTCACAGCTGCAAAGAGCGGCTGAGAAGTATGATTCCTCCACATACTTTATTCTGCCTGTAAGGAAGTGTGTCCTCTGCATTTGACCCATCCTGAATGCCACCAAGGCCACTGTCTGGAGTAGTGGTTGCCGTAGCGACCTGTATCCAGATGTGGATTGTCAGCTTGGTCAGGACTTCCAGAGCGAGAAATATTTTTTTTTATCTATGTGTTTTTTTTTCTAGTGGTAGGATAATCTGGAGCACCCAGAGAAAAACCTGGGCACAGGGAGAATATGCAAGCTCCACTCAGAAAGGAGTGTTCGCACCAAGATTGGAACCCAGGACCTTCTTGCCTGGAAGCGAGAGTGCTATGCTAACCACTCTGCCACTGTGTCGAAATGGTTGAATATTGAGAGAAACTTGATCCAGTGAATCATTAACATCATCATGTAGCTTTCTTAATGTCTTGGTTTTGTCTGTCAGCTTTTTGTCCTGGTCATGGCTCAACTAAAAAAAAAAAATTAACAAAACAAAAAAATATTATTTTTTACCCGTTATATTTGGTTATTATTTAAGTTCTGATGTGACCTGGTTATATTCATTCGTCGTTTTGGTTCGGATATGATATAGTCTGGTCCAGTGTTGACCCACATTAGTTTCACATGTTTTTGTCCTATTATATCTCAGTCATATTTGGGCATTTCTCCAGTCAGTCCATATTGTATACAGTCTGCAACCAGTTTAGTCCAAGTTTAGTCCAATGTTTAGGCCTTTTTGAGTTCATAGTTACTGTTTGATATATATAGAAGTCCTTTGGTCTGAATGAGCCCCATGGTTAGTCCTGAGTCAGTCCTGGTTTTATATTGGCTTGGTCTTGGTTCTGGTTTGAGTTTCCTTTTTGCTGGCTGCAGGAGGGGCGTTGGGATGACAGCCCCTGTAACCTGACCCTGCCCTCCATCTGCAAGAAACCTGGGACCAAGAGCGATGGAGAACCTCAGCATCAGGACTGTAAAAAGGTGAGTTTTTTAAGTCTGTAACAGTAGTTTTGTCCCTAGAAAATAATCTATTTACTATTTTAGAGACACAGAATAGAGATTGTGTTTGTATAACCCATTCGAGTTGCATTGACATTTGTGTAGCTGTCAGAACCACATGAGCAGGGCAGGGTCTGGTTCGTACCGGGATACGAGACTGCTGTAGTACCAGGTGCCACAGGAGGGAGCTGAGGCTGTTAAGCTGTGATTGTGTCCTTGGGCAAGACACTTCACCAACATTCCCTGGTATGAAAAAGATGGTTTTATATCATGCATCAGTTGTATATAGTTTTTTTACAACACTCAAAGAAGTTTCACATGCCATTATTCATTCACTGATGATAAAGTATTACTGTAGCCGCAGCTGCCCTGGGGCACACTGACAGAAGGGAGGCAATCAGAATGTATCATCTACGAGCACCACCAACCTTTCACACACACCAGATCCATTTTTGGCTATGTGGGTGAAGTGTCTTGCCTAAGGATATTACCCCACTGTGGCACCTGGTGTTTCCAGAGGTCTCCCATCTCAGTACTAACCAGGCCCTGCACTGTACAGCTTCAGAGGTCTGACGGGATCTGGCTTTGGCATGCAAGTAGAACCACATTGTGTTTGTGGGGACCGCCTGACATATTGGAGCCTTGTTTCTGTCTCTCCTGTTGATTTTATAGTAACTTGACCTTGTTTGAAGTTTATGGATAATAAAATGAAAATAGACTTAAGCTCATGTTTGTGAATTAAAAAAAACATTACTTTACCTTACCTTAGTAATTAAAATATGTGTGTGGTGCCTTTAAATTTATTATCTTTCTTCTTTCTTGTTCTTTTTTTTCTTTCTGTTTTTTTGTCTGTTATGTTCTTCTTTATGGCGCATGGCGCCGTAAAGATGGCGCCGTGGCAAGAGCTCTGGTGTGTGTCTGGTGCACACCGGGGTAGTCTTGCACAGTTTTTCCAATGTGGTTTTACTGCAGATGGCAAATAAATGAATCTGAATCTGAATCTGTTCTTCTTTATGTTCACTTTTCGATTATAATTGTAAAGAAAAAAAGATTTAAAATAAAACTGTCAACAACTGCTGACTCAAAATGTGCCCTTGCAAATTCAAACTTTGATTTTAGACATACAGAGATGTCCAATGTCTATGTCTACTGTTTTTTGCCATCTTCTTGCTTCCATAGACCACAGATTTTTTAAAGCAGCCATATTCACGAGCCTGTAAATGCAACAATGAACATTTCTGGAATGTTTTCTCTTTGTTTCCTCGTCTTTTTCTCCATCATCTTAACTTTCCCCTTGTCTGTGTTGAGAGTTAGTATTACACAGCCTATCCATCTTCCCATTCAAACACAAAACACACCCTCTCTCTGCCTGCTCCTTTCGCAGCTTCTGACAGTGTGTGTGTGTGTGTGTGTGTGTATAGCGCTAAATATTTCAGCTATTTCTTCTATGTTGACCCCCAATTCCCCCTGCGCTTCATCTGGCCTGCACTTCTCCAAATCCCACCCTTGGAACACAACTGTGAAATAAATCACACTCTAATCTCCAATATAGACATCTCCGTTTGCCTAAAATCAAAGTTTGAATTTGTATTGCCACATCTTGAGGTTGCATACAGGATAAGTTTGAAATCTTTCTTATTTGTAAGAAACCGCACACTTTGACAATCATTGAATGTCATTTTCAAGTATGTGGATGTGTTTGACCTGAAGGCTGAAAATGATTGTTGTAAGGAGAATCCATTTGGGTTGCATTTTTTGTGCTTTTTGTGGTGCATAGGAGACAAAAAACTGTCCCTTCTTTCCCTTATAAAGTACCAGAATATAATCATAAATCTCATTGCGGATAACTGGTAAAATTATGGCCGGCCGCTATTGAATCATATCACAGATTTCATTCCATTGACAAGATTTATTCAGGGAAAATGCATTCAAAACATGTTACTACTAAAGGATTGCAGATTCTATAGGAGAAAGTGGTGTTAAAAGTCAGTATTTTTATATATTGCTGCTTGTGCCCTGCTGCCGTGCCACACAGAGGGTCACATCTGGGAAAGTCTTCAACATCTGCGTTTGATTTTTCCGCTCGTAATTTTCTCCAGATGAAAGTCAGTCCAGATGAAGCTGGAGTCTTCACCTGTCAATGATCGACACATTTTGTTACTCAAACCTCAATGAACCTCCCTGCAGTCTGGGGGGTTTAATGAGAAGTGTAAAAAAAAAGGCCATGCGTCAATCCATACAGCGTCCGTCTGTCTGTTTGTTTGCTCTGTATTGTCTTTTAAATATATTTATTTTATCAACAAAAATGTGCAACAACAGTTATTAGTATTATCTATTTAAACATGCAGTATTCTGGCAATGGTCTCTGTATAGTACTGTGTGAGGTTGTGGCCCTGTATTGCAAGGGAGGGATGAAAAAAGAAAATAAATTGAATAATTTAGAAATAGATAGAATATAATTTTCTTGTTTGGTCGTATTGATTTGCTTTTTATAATGAGAGATCCACACATTTCAAGTAGAAGTACGAGGCGAAGAGGATGTCTCTACATACAATACGTCTTCAAAGTGGGATATATTATTTGAGGTATATCTACTGTATTGAATTGAAAGTGCCTTGCTGCTATATGCGTCATTGTAGCCAGTCGGTTGGTACTGAAGCGGTGAATCAATACCAATGTTGCTGCGTGTCAAATAATGGGTGTTGATTTTGGCTATAATAAAACCAGCCCATCCCTAGTTATTTCCTCTCCCCTTCCGTCTAAAACATATTCCTTCAGAACTCCGTATGGCCGTGTGCTCCTTCAGCTGTGCCATATTTGCCATATTTATACCCCGCATTTATTCTCTCCGTATCTGATGTCGCTCCTTGCTGTTTCTCAGCTGCTACTCTCGACAATGATCTGCTTTTGGAACGATCCATTTGTTTTGTGGTAATGAATCTTCACCCTTCTGTTCGCGCGGTAAAGCATCACGGTTCATTTGGCGCTGGTAATGATGGTTAAAGCGTGTCCCGAACCCCCGACATAGAGCTAGATAGACGCTAATAGAGAAAACATGCTGCTGCTTTAGTGCTGATACTGTGGTTGACCCGGAGACATTTGCCCCATAGTCTGCGATGAGCGCCTCCAGAGAGTGATAAACCGCCCCAGTGTGTGTCTGGAGAGGGCAGATGCTAACAGCGGTGGGTCATGTCAGAAGTAAGAAATATAGATGTTTATGTGTTGTTACCTCTGCCCAGGAGGTAAAGTAATCATTGGCGTTTGTCTGTCTGTATGTCTGTTTATCTGTGAGCAACATAAACTCAAAAAGTTATAGGAGACTTTGACAAAATTCAGAAAATATATGGATCCGAATTGTCATCTGGAAGAAAAAACTGTGCCCCTGTGGCCGAGGTCTGTGCCGTGACTGTATTTCTAGTTTTTAATATTGTTTATTTTTGTTCAGCTTGTGAAAAGTGCAGTAACAGATTCATCTCCTGGTTGGCTCTTTGGTTGCTTGGTCGTTGCTATTCGAGAATTTTGCGCCAGATAAAGGTGGAAAAGCCAGACGCTATGGGTGATCTGAGCACTCATCAGTTCACCCACTTTTTCTATGGTATATAGCCCAGAAAGTGAATGGACACAGCCTTCCTTTTTTTAAGGTGTGCGCACAATAACTTCAAAGTCTTCATACAACCAATTGATATGATTTTAATACAATACACTGTTATTATTTCTCAGTTTAAAGTCAAAAGCTTTGAGAACATACGTATACATACAGTATTTCAACTGCAATTGCATCATGTGCCTGTGACGTTTAAAGCCACAGCAGCCTAAAATATGTACAAAATGTGTGTTTGGACTGAGCGTAACACTTAGAGGTTTATGTCTTTGGGCCAGATGTAGTTTGAGCTCAGATCCCCTCAGTGACCTTCCTACGCCTGCTCTAAAGAGATACATTTTGATAAACCTGCAAAATGCACGCAGACAAACTCTCATATGGAATGAAAATGACAACTTGAAAACCAATTATATTCTTTACTATTGTAGTATTAGAAGTAGTAGTGACCACAATGCTGTATTCTGGTTCTAATCCTAATTTGTTGCTGCTTTTGTGAACAGGGCTGGAAGTGGCACAGTCCGTCTTGTTACTGGGTTGGAGAAGACCTCATGACGTTTGATGAAGCCAGAAAAGTCTGTGAGGAGGAATTGGCTTCCCTGGTCACAATAACCAACAGGTACAGAAGTCTACTAAAGTCCATAGAGATTTAAATACTGATACATTTCACTAAAACACCCTAAATTTTTTGCAGATTTGAGCAGGCTTATGCCAGCAGCCTGGTGTTTGGCCGCGCCAAGGACTTGTTCTGGATTGGGCTTCACGATCAGGACAAAGCGGGATCTTTCCACTGGCTCAGCGGGGACGAAGTGACATACACCAACTGGAACAGAGACCAGCCTGGTAAATATTAAGAATATATATAAAAATATTAAGAAGTTATGCAAAAACGATCCATCTATGGTAATATTGAAAACCTTTGAAAAAAAAACACGTAACTCCACTGCCTCCAAACGCTCCTCTCTCAGTCCTGTAATAGTTTGACGTCATAGTATCACTGTCATGGCCAGAGCAGTTTTCTGTCTTTTAAATCTAAGTATCGCCCAAGGATTAGCTTTGACAATTTCTCAGCTGAAATCACATTCTTATATTTATTTTTATTTATTTATTTATTTATTTATTTATTTGAAAAGGAGGGACAATACATATTAATGAACATTTTCACAAATGTAAATATGCCAGATTATAGCCTTAGGCTAATTTCCATCTGCAGACCCCCTGGCAGGTTGGTGTTAAGCATAGGTTAGTAAAAACATACAGAGACACTATATACAGACTATGTACAGAGAGACAAGGACAAGTAAAGTGATCACTTGTTAGAACAAACAATAAAAAGAGTGGACAACAAAGGACAGTATAGAAAAACAGTAACGGGAAAGCATCGACTGTATTGCACAAACCCCATTATAAAGCACATGGTGGTATTTGCAGCCACATTTGAAAAAAAAAAAAATCTTCTTATCCCTCTGGTCCTTCTGGTAACAAAAAGAGATGCAGGCAAAAATGCTACTTGTCTGTAGCATGAGATCCTGTCTCTCACAAATATCCATGTCCAATGACAAAGCCATTATAATGGGGAAAACATAATGCATACCATGTCGTTGAGTTGTTTTAAGCTCTATCAATGCCCTTATCAGAAGGTTCTGTTAAAGGTATAGTAAGCGATTTTGTAACCAACTCGAAACCACTCCCCCCTCCTCTCGCCTCTCCAAACCAAACATCCAGCATTTTATTTTCACAGTGCCACCCACTTTCTTGTCACAACAGGGAGAGTGGGTGGTAAACGTGAAATTGGCTTTTTTTTTTTTTTTTAGGTTTTATAAAATCTGATAACTCAGGTGCGAGCACTCGTGAGAAACAGGAAGAGGGTGAAGGGGGTAAACGTATCCCATTGGTTCGTTTAGGATGAACGAATCCCCTTGGTTTATTTTTATCGGTCCGCTCCAAAGTATTTTTCATTATTTTTTGGAAACTATAGGCATCTGGTCAATTCCATCACTATTTGAAAACACATGATAACTTGACTACTTTCAGGGTTTAGGAACGTTTTCCCACAATATTTTAAAAAAATTCGTCCGGAAAAAAATCACTGACTGCCTCTTTAAGGTTTGTTAACAACCTGCACTTTTAATACTTTAGTACATGGAAGTGTTCTGACCACCTCTGATTCGGTTATTCTTGTAAATCCATATATTTTGTGAGTAAAGACCTGAGTTAGCTACAAGACGTCGTGAGTAAAGTGTCTTGCCTCAGAAGTCAGCGTGCGTTGCCAGTCGCAAGGATTAAACTGCTGAATATCAAGACTCAATAAATATTTTATGAGGGCATGGGCCAAAGTTTTATGGATAGAAATCATTTGAGGAGAAAAGAAACGATTATAGATGCCAACATAATAAAAATACACTTTGGAAAATCTGATTTGCTTGGCTGTGTTCGTCGCAGCAACAGATTCAAATGTTGACGCTTGTTTCTGCAGAGCTCAAAACCGTAATCACATTTTCCTGCAGCTCTTTCTTTCAATCAGTGACTGAACAACATTTACTGCTTCCTCTGATCCAAAAGCCTCTGAATAAATTCCGGTCTTGGCCTTTAAGATATAAATAAAAGTCCTATGATTGAGTCCAGGTGCCTTTTTCACAAGCTCTATTATAGTATAAGCATTACATCACAGGATCTTTATTTGACGCCAACGTAGTTTTCATTAGCTGTGAATTTGCTTGTAACTATAAAAAAATAAAAATTCTTTAGACTTTCATAGATTTAAAAAAAACGTTATAAATTCTCTTTTCTAATGGGGGCGCTACTATTTTCTTCTCCCCATGGATAGTTTATGGTACGGTCTTACTAACCCTGGTATATGTTCCACTGAATGACATTTAGCTAAAATCTTGCATTTGTTGAATTAGTTGTGTTTGTTGTTTCAAAATTACCCTTGAAAAACATGCATTCAATCCTCATATTCACCAGAGAGTTACGTATCTTCACACCGATATCGCCACAAGGGTCGTAATATAGCTACAGTATATCTTTACAATATTTAGAATCACCGAGAACCACAGCAGCGATCAAAGCGGTGAATGTTTGGCACCTGTGGGCAAAAGTCTGTGGATTATTTCATCAGATCCTCAGATAGTTGTGTGTAGAACAATGATGAAATGTTTTTGTAGTTTTACGAAAAGGGCTCGAGTCGTCCAGACCCTCGGGCAGAGATCAAATACAATCATCTCTCTGTGAATCCTGGGTAAAAGCTGATAAGAGCTGTGAGAACGTGCGCATATGAGACTTGTTTGACAATACATATTCTCCCAAAACTCTTTATAAATTGATATTTACATTTGTCTTATTTTAATTTTGTCAGTGAAATTGTAAAAAAAAAAAAAAAATCTTGGGTTTGACTCCACCTCTATACAGGGGCTTTCTATGTAAAGTGGTTTCCTCCGAGTGCTCCGGTATCCATCCATCCATCCATTTTCTTCCCCTTTCAGTCACCCAAGTCACTCCGGTTTCCCCACCATTAAAAACATGTGCAATAGGTATGAATGAGTGAAAGAGGGATTTGATTTCTCGCTTGCTCAAGATCCTATTATCACTGTGTATGACTGTATTTTTGTATTTACATGATTTTATGGCTCTCTCTGGCACAAGAATTTCCTTTTGGATTATTAAAATTATATCTAATCTAATCTATTGGATTTTTTGTCTTGATACCCTTTACTTTGTTTGTCCCAGTGTCTATCGATGGCGGCGGCTGCGTCTCCATGGCGACGGGTTCTGCCACGGGGCTGTGGGAGGTGAGGGAGTGCGCGGCGTCCAAAGCCAAGTTCATCTGTCGTCAGAACCAGGACACTTCTCTGAGCCCGGACCCCCCTGCACCTCATCCCACCCCCAGCCTGGGAGGAGCCTGCCCCAACGGCTGGAAGAGCAACAGCAACCTGCGCTACTGCTACAAGGTGAGGGCCGAGACCAAACCAGAGAGGAGAGAGATGTGGGGAAATCATACTGGAGGAGGTCGGAATAATTATACAGGATCCAATCTAAAAATGAACACTCAGATCAGTTGCTAGTTCCTATCTCTCAAAACAGTTCTATTACTTGATTACATATCTATGTAGTTTTTGGCTTCATCACGCCGTTAGATCATATTTTTCAGACAGAAAAGTGGAATATAGAGGACCACCATCACTCAGCTCTCAGCCAAAAAGCATCAAACAGTGACTCGCAGGATTTTATTTTTTCATGTAAAATTCATCCCCTTAAATGGACAAGTTTCGCCTCAGACAGACAAACTTTAAAACAAGTTGGATCATTTTTAATCAAATAACCCGGTATGTTTAATCCTTTCTGGAATGCTCCCTGGCAAAATAATGTTTCCATGGTGAAAAACAGTTGCCGCATCACTCACCAGAATATGTTATAACTGTATAGTCATTTTACACTTATTAAAACAAAATTAGTTTGTGAACATAAAGTGTTATGGAGTGTATTTTTCTATGCAAACATCAATACAGATCATTTGACTGCAGGATGTCAACTTGTAAGAAATCTACAAAGAAGGCAAGAAAAGCACTTTTACCAACTAGTTTGATTTGTGCAGGCTGCGTACAAACACACATAGACGTGAGCAATGAAACTGTCTGGAATGTGATGTTGTGTGAATGAGAATGAACCACTTCAAAGGACTGTCCCATATTTAGCTGCCGGCTTGGACCACTTGTTTGATGTCAGACTTATTCCATTAAAGTAAGAAATGTAAGAAAAACAAAAAAGACAGATGTGACTTTGAGGGGGAGGGGTAATTGTGTGGGAAGTTAGTATATCCTTGGGAGTTCCTTGAAGGATTTTCACATCATATTTTGGACCACAATGCTGTAGCAAAACACATGAGCAATATTTGTAGATGTAGGTGTCCAGTAGCAGCAGAATACATAATTACAGGTAGAAAAAAATCAAGAAAAAGATTCAATTGTAAAACTCAAACCGGTAGTGTGTGTAGTTTGATTTCAAAACATAGCCATGCAGAGGACACATAATAATAATAATATCCAGCCATCCATTTTCTTCCGCTTCATCCCTTGCCGGGTCGTGGGGTGCTGCACAGTCAGAATAATAAACAATTAAAACAGTCCTGATGATACAAAGTCAAAATAATTAGATAGAATAGTAGATATGGGAAGACAAAGCAGACAGAGGAAACACAAGAAGAAAGACAAGACAAAGACAAAGCAGACAGTAAAACACAACATGTGAAGTTTAAAACCGACAGTTAAAAGTTGTTAAAAGAGCCCCGACCTCGGAACAGTCAACAGGGACCTGCCCGATGATCTAATGCTGCGGGGAAAGGATCGTAGGGGGTTCAAAGTTCGCAAATATAGCCGTGTGCCAGACCTAAACATACCAATGACCACATCTTCTTGAGACTTGATCAATTGTGTTGTGTTTTTCCAGGTGTTCCACTCGCTGCAGATGGAGCAGAGGCTGAGCTGGATGCAGGCTCATATGTATTGTCGCACACACGGGGCCAACCTCCTGAGCGTCAGTGGAGCAGAGGAGGAGCAGTTTGTCATGCAGGTCCTCAATGAGGCCTTTGGGTGAGGGCTGCTTTCTTCTTACCTCCCACAATCTCAACAGTAAGTTTGTCTATACTCATATTTGCAAATGTGGATGCTTTTCTAATGGGACATGTTATGCAAAATCTCTGTATTAGTCTTTAAATCAAGGCACTGTTTTCCGACCTTTCCCATTTCCCACTGTCTCCCCCATGCTCACACTCACTGCCTTTTACACACTACATTATCGTTGTTGTTGTTATTAAGCAGAGCAGCAGCAGAGCTTGTACTATAGGACATCAATCTTCAGCATTACTTAGTTCCAGACAATTCTTTTTTTTTACATACAAGTTGAAATTTGACATTTATATTGTGTTACAGATAGATTTTTAGTGGCAAATAAGCTTGAATGATAAGGATACACACATACGGATGATAACACAACGTTACTTTCAGAGACTCAGAGGATGAGGAGCACCGCTGGTTTTGGATCGGACTGAACCGGAGGAACCCAATGGACAACGGCAGCTGGAAGTGGAGCGATGGACTGGCTGTGAGTGATTTGACGTGATATAATAGTTTACAAACAGACATTGAGCTAACTGATGTGACTGTGTTCAGGTCACGTACCAGAACTTTGGACGATACTACAACCTTCGGCCCTGTGCGGCGGCCAGTCTGGGCACCATGACGTGGATGGCCATGAACTGTGATTCAGAGTTAGACTGGATATGCAAGATTCCCAGAGGTAATACTAGGACTACTCATCCATCCATTTTCTTCCACTCTATCCATTGCCGGGTTGCGATGCATTCCAAACAGAGACAGCCAGACTATCCACATACACTTCCTTCAGCTCCTCCATCGGACCCCTGAGACGTTCTCAGGCCAGTTGAGAGACTTAGTCCCTCTATGTCCTGGGTCTTCCCCGGGGTCTCCTCCCATAGTGTTCAGGAAGCATCCAAAACAGATGCCTGAGCCCCTTTAAACTGGCTCACCTTGACGTAGAGAAGCAGCAGCTCTACTCCGAGCTCCTCTTGTCTTGCTGAGGTGATGATGGGGAGGAGGTGGGTTGTTGCGTGAGCCGAAGTTAAGTGGAAAGCTTTAAGGCACTGTTTAAATGTAGTCATCTGTGGTTTTTTGCTGATGAGCCACAGCTGGTTCCTTTGCTTTCATTAAGATTAAACTAGTGTGTTGAAATAATAACCTTTTTATTTATCTAGACCAGGAAGCACACTATGCTTCCTGGTCTAGTCCTGGTCTAGTACTGGTTTAGTCCGGATTTGGTCAGCATTTATTCAGTCTTTATGTTATTTCGATCTCTATCATCAAATCTCCCCTTTGTGTTTTTAGGAAGCATCGAGAAAGAACCAGAGTTGGCAGAAGGTCTGTTGCTTTCTTTGAACTCTTTTTATTTGATCTTTTGGGGGTGTATGATGTAACCCACTCGTTATGTCTGATTTTGGTCCACTTCCTCTTCTCTCCGTGGCTCTCCCAGGGGCCAGTTCACCGGAGTGGATCGGCTTCCAAGAGGCGGAGTACAAGTTTTTCGACCACCGCACCACCTGGGACCAAGCGCAGAGGATTTGCACTTGGTTTGACTCGTCGCTGGCTTCGGTTCACTCAGCTGCTGAAGAGGCTTTCCTGGCCAAGACTTTACGTGAGGTGATGCATAATTCATACAAAGTTGTGGGATGGCTTCACTGTGAAATGGAGATAGAGAAACATGTACTACATTACTTCAATAGTGTATAAGTACTTTTTCTGACGCGTGGGCCGCTACTTGCTTGTCACTATTGGGAAAGATATTGTTTTGTGGAAATGGGACTTGTGGATCTCCATGGAAACCAGCTTTTGCTATATTAAGCCAATGTTGTTTATTAGGTAGAATTCCACTTGTGAATTAAGAAAATAGATGGATATCATGGTCCAAATTTTTTTTCTGTTCAATTATTTAATGGTATTCATATTTTTAGTCAAGGTTAAGGGACAGTTTTTGTCTCTTTAGGGAAATTTGTGTTATCCGTTTGACGTATTCTGTTTTATTTATTATTTGACCCATAGTTACAAAGCATTGCCCCGCTTGCAGACCCATACAGATGCTCAGTTTGATTTTCTGGAGGATGTGACCGATGGTGCAGGTTTATTGGTTGATTTCTTCCTTAAAAGCCACGTACAAACTTGACTTTGTGTTGCATCACTCTCTTTGCTCGACCATTTCCTTCAAAATCGTCTATGACTAAACTATTACGTTTTTACCAGGCTAAAACCAGGCACATTATAACCACAAAAGGAGATGCATTCCAGCTGCTTAAAGGTATACAAGAGGATTTTCTACTTCCGGGTGGATCATCAACACTATTGGTCCTCCCAAATGTCAATCATTCTGTTTATACGTCCTTGTCCTATAAGAGCAGAGAGTTTTGTTCAAAAAGTAGAAAGGGCGGTTCTTTCCTAAAATATGGGAAAATCCTCCTTTATACCTTTAAGAGTCTTCATTTGGGAAAGTTCATTAGTTGTGCGTTGGCGGGGTTGTGAGTGATCGGGGCAAACGCAGACATACCTCACAAGCTTGAACCTGCAGCAGAAGGTCATTACTGAATCTCCTGATGCTGCAGTCTGTACCAGGCCCAACACGCACAAGAAACATTGACATGCAACAAAAATACTGTTGGAATGGTCCCAGGTCCCAACACCACGAGCCGATCCCAGCTGCCAATGTTTACAGAGTTGGCCCCTTTTCCCTTGTACCTGGTGTAAATCTTTTTTTATGTACAGATTATGTGCGGATAATGGATTTGAGAAATAAAACACCTCTTTCCTTATATCTGCTGCTTGTGTTAAAAGCTGCAGAGTTCAGCAGGATGGGCTGTGTTGTGCTGAGATGCAAGCTAGATGTTGAGTGATTTCTAAGTTTTTTATAAATGAAAGTCACTATTTTTGTTGCTCTACAGTTCTGAAATTAATTCCTCACCATAACAAGAATCAGGGCTATCCATATCAAATCTGTGCAGGTGCAAGGCCGTCCACATTTCAAACTTAAAGCCAGTTGAAACTATAGAAAAAGTCTACAATAACATGCTTTCTTTAATCAATCAAAACAACAAACAGGCAGCGCCAATCACTGTTATGGTTTCTATGGACACACACAATATTATATAATTATTCTACATTTTATCCCATACATCATCACTAATTTCTACTCTTTCTTTCAAATGGCTGCTTCAGATGGAGAAATCGGAGGGAGACAACTGGTGGCTCGGTCTTCACACGTATGAAAACGACGGCCGTTTCCGCTGGTCCGACCACTCCATGCTCAACTCTATCTCGTGGGCTCTGGGAAGGCCACACCCCCTGAGCCGCGACCGCAAATGTGTGCACATCTCCGCCAGCAAAGGTAATAGTAACTGTTTTAATTGACATGATTGTAGTGGACCAAACATGAGGCAAGGACACCAGGTGGAAAGACATCTCTAATTTAATGTGGTCCAAACTGAAATAAAAACATAACCTAACTGAACCAACAACAAAAAACTTAACCAAGAGCTAAGGATGGGGCTTAAACACAGGAGGACTAACCCAAATAACGCCACGGGGGCCAGTGTATAGCATTACCTTCAGCCCCCAGTCTTGTTTTTTGGCTGGTCTGGGAAAAAAACTGAAATCAAGTGTAAGTGTTTTTACAAGACATACAGTGGACTAAAATAAAATTCTAAGGCTGTGAAGTGATGGCCGGAAGAATCCACCACAATGATTCAATATGTTACAGAATGATAAGTTGTGTTGGGTTGCAGGAGACTGGTCGGATCAAAAGTGTCACTCGGACCTGCCTTACATCTGTAAAAGAGTCAACGTCACCGGAACCATCCCCCCCACCCCTGCCACGCCTCTCCCCCCCTCGGGATGTCCGGATGGGTGGTCGGCCTATCAGCATAAGGTCAGACTGGAAGCACTTTGACTTGAGTATGCACTGTGCGAGACAAATAAACTTGCCTTGCCTAGTGCGCATGACAAAACCAACTGTTGATTTATAAAAGTTATATTTTTTCACTCTCCGATCTCCGAGCTGCTAAAGTGGCAGGATGGTGTTTGTGTAAGCCGATCATGGGCTCACGCATTACAATAAACACTGAGAATAATTTCGATGCTGGGACTGCTCCAAACTCTTGGCACTTCTTGGCGAAAAACATCAAGTAGAGGGCTTTAAAGTATTAGAAGCTGGAAGGCAGGATTATAATGGGATTTACAAGGCCCAAATGAACTTAAGTTTGTTAACGTGTGAGACGGAGCATTTTGATTCAAACATGGAGAAGAGTCTATGTCCAGTAAGTAAAGATATATACAGTGAAACTAAGGTAAAGGCATTTAAAGTATGCACTATAGTATAAAATCTTTCATATTGGCCATAATATTTGTGTTTCATTTCTCCAATCTACAATATTCTGCCATTATTCTTGATGGATTTGTGAACATAGTCTATTAAAACATGTCTATTGTGTAGTAATTATTCTATCTAATCATCTTTTTGGATTATGATTTCAATGCATGCAATGTGTGCTCTACAAATAAGGTTGAAAGCTCACTCAGGTCCTGTCCTGCAGTGTTTCAGGGTGTTTGACCAGGTGAACCGCATCACATGGTCCGGAGCCAAACTGAAATGTGAAGCCAACGGTGGGGTCCTGGCAGTGATCGCTAATCATTTAGAGCAAGGTAACTGTTTGCAGGGTTTATACAAGTATTGTGTTTTTATGTGAATGTATATGAAAGTTTTGCATGATATATGTGGAGAAAAGCTGATCATTACTAAAAGCTAAAATTTCTTATGTTACTTTGCACAATGAGACAGCATTTAAACGTATATGGCCTTTTATTAAAATAGATTCTAGGTATGAATTTGCTGTAAAGTTGCTCATGAAAAAATCAGAATTAAATTTGTCAAATAATAAAGTATGTGTTACGTGACAGAAATGTACCTAGCATCATTAAGCCAATTAAAATCTGATGTTGTTTTTTACTCATACATGTTTATTGGATTAATAGTTATACAGTTTTAAAACACCAACAACACAGGTCCAGGACAAACACGCCAAATGAAAAAACAAATGATCTATATTGTCCCTTTAGCTTTGGTCACCACTCTGCTGTACAACACCAGCATCGATCTGTGGCTGGGCCTGACCTCGGACTCTCAGGGCCAGTTCCAGTGGTCTCAGCCGGGTCTTCTCAGCTTCACAAACTGGGGCCCCGGAGAACCCCTGGACAACAGCGGACCACACCACAACAGGACACCGGTCTGGAGAAAATTCAATTCAATTCAAAAATGTATAATACCAGAATGTGTTAAAGGGTTCATTAAAGCTGGGGTACATCACTTTTTCCAATAAAAAATCCCATAATATTTTTTTTCTGTAAAAGTAAAATGGAAAGATGATTTTGATAGAACTAAACCGAGTGCGAGAAGTGGGGATTGTGGTTTGAAAATTAGGTATATCAGCTTTAAAATTGGGAATAGTTTTAGCAGTGTTAAGCAAACTACTTTAGCCTGGTGACTGGTCCTGGGTTCAATTCCTCCTCCAGACAGTGCCTTTCTGAGTGAAGTTTGCATGTGCTCCCCATGTCTGAGTAGATTTCCTCCAGGTGCTCCGGTTTCCTACCACTAAAAACATGTCAAATAGCTCCCCTCTCTTTACGGCCATGATCCCCCTGAAACTCGAGATTCTGACATCTTAGTGGGACTTTCCTGGTTAAATAAATAAAGGTCAATTACCTACCTTAGATTTATACAACGTAGATGGTCATTTGATTAAACTTGAGTCGACTAATTTTGACTAAATAACTGAAACGACTGACAGCCCTACAGATGATAAGTAAAAAATTATAAAGAAAAAATCTTTATTTAAAATTTTCAAGGAGTTTGTGGTTAGATTCTATTGTTATTCTTGTGCTGTCTTGCATATAATAAAGTTGGGGATCACTGATGAGAGGATGGATTTTCCTTTTCAGGGTAACTGTGTGGTGATGCTGCACGGGAACCCACACAGGAACACCGGCATGTGGGCGTCCCGGGCCTGTGAGATGGAAAGCAATGGCTACATCTGTCAGAGGAAACAAGGTATGACATTATTTCATGTTGTACTGTCGTTCTTACCCGACTCAAGGGTGCAGAAGACAAAGGCAGATAGACAGGCCACACTGTAACATCCTGTCTGTTAGAGCTCAAAGGAAAATCAAGTGTCATGCAATTATTTGACTAACCCTGCACAAACCATCCGCCCTAACAGACCCGAGCCTCCCCCCGGCCCCCCCTCTCATCCCATCCCTGCTGAATCCCGTGGAGCTGGGAGGGCTGTCGTACCGCGTGGTGGAGAAGAAGCTGGACTGGACCGGAGCGCTGCACCTGTGTGAGTCTCTGAACGGGACACTGGCCGCGATCAACAACCCATACGAACAGGCGTACCTCAGCCTCCTCATCAACCACCTGCGCAGACCGGCCTGGATCGGCCTCTACAACTATGGAGTAAGGAGCTTTTTGTATTTCGACGTTGTAAATTTTTCTGTACGAAGTTTCCAAAGCAAACCATAGAGACAGTTTATCTCACCATGGGTCGTTTGCTTTACTGGTGGTGATGGAAAAAGATGATGATGATGAAGTCAAAAGTATGTATATATCTATGTATGTAGAAAGACACCAAGAACTAAGTTGAGTAAGGAAATGTAGGAACAAGGAGTGGGATCACATAAGTCTTCTTCTTTCCACTCCTTTTTGAGCCAAAATATACATGTTGTACAGATCCTCCCTGTACCTCTTTGTTTTGTTTTTTTCCTTCATTTGTTGCCCATGTGTGGGTGCAGTGATTTCTGTATCGTGCAGAATGTTATCGTTTGTTTTGTTTGGCTCAAAATAAAGTATTCAATCTATCAATCAATCAATCAAGTCCATATGACATAAAAACATTCTAAAGAAACACTGTGGTGGAGGACAGCTGAAAAATCTGTTCTTGTGACTATGAAAATGTCAAGTCAGACTTTTTGTAAGTTAGTTCTAGTTCTATGTATTCCCAGTTTATCTACATGAAACAGAAACTGTCACAAAGTTTAGACCATCAACTATAGTCTTTCTCGTTAAGGTGTTGGGAAGTGGTGACAACCTTAAGAAAACATATACACACTGTTGGTCAGTAGAAATGATTTTATTTTTACACAAATGGTTTGTTTTATTGGCACCTGCTCTCCAACTCAAATAGAATTGTAGACTGCCACCTACATTTGACTGATATTAGTGTTTTCACAGGTATCAGAATAAAAACATACATTATGGCCATTTTCAGTGAAATTTTCAAACTATGAAATATGTTTTCTCCACTACCATTATGTCCTTATCAAGACACTACATGGATTTTTACAATATAATCGAAGCAAAGATGGCATTAAGATCTCCCCCAAGTGGTTTCTTCAAGTATCACAAAGCAAATCAGAAGTTTAAACACTAGACTAAAGCAGACAGAATTATTGATATTTCCTCACACATTATTAGTGGAAGTAGCACGTCTTGGAGCTGTTTGTCCATCTGCATATCCATCTGCTGTATTGTCACAAACAGCTTGATAATATTCCAAACTTCACAAAACGTTCTCTGTGAAAATATCATTTGTTTGTCAGACTCAAACTTTTCTCAATATGGAGTTTAATCCCGTACAACAAATCAACAAACACATGTCATTGTCATTTCCAGGGCCGGAGTTTCACATGGCATGGCGAAGGAGAGGGCTTGTATTCCAACTGGAAAGACGGCGAGCCCAGTCAGAGCGCCGGCTGCGGTCACATGACGACCACCGGCGAATGGGTGATGACGCAGTGTGATGCCAAACTCGGGGCTGCGCTGTGCCAAATTGGAGGTAGGGACATTTTAATACATGGTGTTTTAGATGTCAGGTCATCTATAAAAACAGATCAATTGATTTGATTGATTGATTTCAGCCATTTCTGCAACTTTGTTTACACGTACTAAACATATTCCATAATACAACTAAATTAAAAACTATATAAATAATTGTGTATCTCAGTGTGGTGTGTTTGTGCTTGGTGCTGTATGAGTGAGAGGGGTTGGGACCATATAGGAGTTACATATTTCTTTGTTTTCTTTTTGGTGAACAAGTTTGAAATAATTACTGTAACATGCTTTAATTAACGATATATAGGAGGATTGCCCTCTCCACTTTTTGAACAAAACTCTCTGGTCTTATTTGACGAGCACATATCGCCGGAATGATTGACAATTGGGAGGACCAATAGTGATCCATCCATCCATCCATCCATTTTCTACCCCTTAATCCATTTCTGGGTCGGGGGGTGGCCAGAGCTGTGGGGTTAGGTGTCTTTGCGAAAGGACACAACGACAGCAGTCATCAGTGAGAGTTGATGAAGAAGGTCTCATGAACCCACAACCTTCAGGCTCAAAGGCCAATGCTCTACCAACTGAGCCACTGTCGATGTTAATTGGATCATAATAGTAAGACCAGTGCCAGGCGTGAAGTGTATCTAAAGCAGCTCTAAAACCCTTTTCTCTATACTGTTTAAAATATCAAATACAGTTTCCCTGGTGACTATGTGAAGTATCCTGTGTGTTCAGAGGAGCCGGTGGTCCATCGGTGGCAGTATCCAGGAGCGTGTCCTCACTCTGTGGGGGAATGGGCCTGGGTGCCGTTCAGAAACAACTGCTACGCCTTCAGCCTACAGCATCTGAGGCCGCAGCAGGACGCCCGCTCAGCCTGTCATAAAGGTAACTCACTCATCCAATAGGCAAGTTTATTTGTATGGCACAGTTCATACACAAGGAAACTCGGAGTGCTCAAACTGAAAAGAAACGTAAAAAAAAATCATAATAATGGGACAAAAATTGTGCTTTACTGGAGCTATCCAAAATGGCCGCGAGTGGTCCCGCCCCAAGCCCCGGCGATCCAAGATGGCGCCCTATTCAAATGAATGGTTGTGCTCAGTGGCGCTTTGTGACGGCATGGGGGCTGAAAGATTAGCGGAAGTCGCCTGGAACTCGCAAAGATCTATGGGAAACTCGCCTGTATTTGGGCATCGTCTGGTCCTCCCGGTTCTGCGCAGTGGATGATCTCCCATAATGCGTTGCGCCAAACACGCGTGTGTGGGTCTCACACCGGGTCTCACGCACGTGCACAGAGGGGCTCGGCTGCGCTCTGACCAATCAGAGCAGTTCATCAGAGCGGGAATTAGAGCGAGAGCCAGACGAGCAGAGTTTGTGGCACTAAAGTGTGAATTTAAACAAAAGCGAAGGATTTAAGAAGAAAAAAAGTTCAGGATGACAAGGGACACTAAAATCCCCACAAAATCCGACCTTAATGGAAGCTGTAGGTTCTCTGTCAGCTGAGGTTGAGCTGTTTTAATATGCATTGAGTTCTATGGGAAAAATTTCTGGGTAGCCCACGTGAATTTAGTCTGGTTCAGTCTGCAGTACCGCGAGAATCCCCCGAGCACATGAGTTATTCAGCTACAAGCTAGTAATACCCTATCCAGTTATTATAATAGATCCATGTCCCGTCCACAAGAAAATTGTGAAAAAACGCATCTGCACATGCGTCAGCCGGCACAAGCCCCATTCTTTTAAATGAGTGCCTTCAAAAATTCCCAGCGAGTAAACTAGACTGGTCCAAAAGAATTCACCCCCCTCAGCATTGACACACATGTGGAACGGAGCTTTGGGCCAAGAGCCAACTTTTGGACCATCCTGTAAAGGTGTTTTCGAGAGGTAAGAAGATGCTATATGTTAGCATTGGCTAATTCTTATTCCGGGTCCACCCCCATCGGCCCGGGGTGGTATTGCAAGCATGTCAGCGCACGTCATTTTGGCCACTTTTGAGCCGGGACCCGCCCCCACTGGTCTATTGTCGAGGAGTGAGTCCCATGTTGGAATGATGCGATCGCTGGCATTTATCTGGAATACATTGTTGTCGTCTTTTGTTTGCAGAGGGGGCTGAGCTTCTCTCCATCTTGGACGAGACGGAGAATGAATTTGTTTGGGAGCACATGCAGAGCGACATGGATCAGGCGAACGGGGCCTGGCTCGGCATCAGCGTCAGAGGTCCAGTATTCTCTCATTACTGTGGCAATACGATTTCACAATAGCATTAATCTAATAAGATCTGATTCTGTAAATGTAGATGTAACCAACATAGTCAAAGGATTCTTCTTTAAACAGATGTGAAAGAGTCAAAAGGAGAACGCTCAAACTTTATAAGAGAGAGAGTGGACTACTACAATTAATAACAGACATAAATAAAATAAAATAAATCCAGGGAAGAATCCAGGTCGCTGGAAAGTGATTCAGAGGCTTATGTAACAATTCTGCTACGTTGGCCTAAAGGAAAGGCAAGTTTATTTATACAGCACAGTTCACAAACACGTACGTTAAAGCTTTGTGTTACATTTTTGGAACCAAAGTAATAGTTCTGTACAGCCATTTTTGAATAACGAAGAAGCATAACATTACTTGAATATGGTATATACTGTATTTTTTGTATGAAGCACAAAGTTCTAGAGGCCAAGAACCACAACTAGATTAAATAAGGACGTATGAAAGAGAATTTTGAGGTTCTGCTTCAGTTCAGGGTTAGTTCTTGGGTTTATAGTCTAGTCCTGGTATAAGCCTTTCGTTGGTCTTTGCAGGTTGATTAAGGGTCCGTTGGCATTTTCTGTTCGAGGCCATGGAGAGACTTGTACACATGCAAAGCTGCTTTAAAGTCCATTCTCTGACCAGAATGAACCACAGGAAGCCAGTGCAGAGACCTGTGATCTGGACTAATGTGATTGTACTTCCTGGTTCTTGTCAGGACTCGAGCTGCAATGTTTTGAATTGAAAAAATTAAAATTGCCTTCCTAAAAACAATCTTGAAGTTTCTCATTACACAATTAACAGATACCTTTAATTTTCAGACATCATTAGATTTCAAAATGCCAGAAACATGGCGCCGTGGCAAGAGCTCTGGTGTGTGCTATCCTGGTGCACACTGGGGTAGTCTTGTACAGTTTTTCCAATGTGGTTTTACTGCAAATGGCAAATACATTCTTGAACCTTGAATCTTGAATCTAGACCAACCTGCTAAATCTCAGTCCGGATATTAGGAAGACTACTGTAGCTTGTTAAACATCTTGCCTTATTGGCTTTTCCTCTACATCCATATGCATTGATGTGTTGCTGTTTTCCCGCAGGTCGAGGTCTGGTGTGGAGCGAGGACACGGAGATGAACTACTCAAACTGGGAGGCGCAGGCGTTTTCAGTGCTGTCTCCAAACTCGTGCTTCTGGATCCAGTCCAACACTGGAACATGGAAACCAGGCTCCTGCAGGAACCGCACTCATGGAGTCATCTGCAAACGTCCCCGGAGTAAGCACACGACTGATCTGTAGAAACATGAATCGTCAAAACATTTTAAAGTCACCAGTATTGTATTGTTGCAGCCCTATATGACATAACGACATAACATATGATCTCAGTATTTCATGCCGGACAGAGAGACATGTCACTATATTCTTGCCGTTTTTTTGTTGGAATCTTGTCAAAGCAGGGGTACCTAACTTTAAAACCACAAACAATTGAAATGCAATGCAATAATAATAATGTAATATTATCCATATAAATGGTTCGCCTGCTTGGTTGTATCATTAGTTTTCACAAGCATGTACATTTGTCATATATTTAGGAACCAGCAAACAAAATGTACAGTATTAGCTATGAAAAAAATAAAGTAGGCTAGTGGGGTAGGCTAGGGGTAGGCTAGCATGATGTGAGATTGCCAAATAGTATTCTAAAATATGATCTATTGAGAAAGTAAATAGGTTAGCATGATATGAGGCTAAACACCAAGATATTAGAGAGCCCCAAAAAGTATTATCTTTTATTCTTGCGAAAATAAATGAATGTAATTGTATGTTTTTTTTTTCCAGGTGCAGAAACCTCAGCTACAACATGTAAGTTTGAAAACAGTTACAGATTAGTATTTCTTTTCTACCTTTTCATCCACAAACCCTCGCTCTCTCTCTCTCTTACCTCAGTGGACCCGGAGAACCTGCCAACCCTGCTGGTCGTCATGGTCACGGGCCTTGTGCTGGTGGTGCTGATCGTCGGCGTGATTTACCTGTACCGGCGCAGGACGGGGGGCGCGCGGGGGTCCTACGAGGGGGCGCGCTACAGCCGCACTCACTCCGGCAGCGACGAGCAGACTGAGAAGAACATCCTGGTGTCCGACATGGAGCTGAACGAGCAGCAAGAAGAGTAGCCACACACACATGCTGCTTTAGTCCACTTTATCTGGCAACACAAAGGAGACGTATTGTGATATTTGGGCCACAATTTGATATTATTGCGATTCTCAACGCAATAATGAGACTGTTCGACTCAAATGTCACATTGAATTCACTGAAGTGCAAGAACTTTGGAGGGTAGAGCAAAAACAAAAATCATGTAAAACCAGTTATGGAGCCATTTTTGTTTGACCTAAATTAATGCACGAAAACAAAGCACCGCAACAAGCAACACCTTGTGGATGTAATACACATTTAAATTACCAGAGTAAACCCCGATAATTATTTAATTCAATATCACAATACTTTGCTCTACTGTATCAATTTAATTGCGTGTGCAAAATATTACGATACAGAACAGAATTGATTTATTTCCCCCACCACTACTACAGTTATCTTGGAGACGCACACTACTTTATTAGTATAGGCTATATGCACGGGGAGGCGTGACGTTCAGTTCCTGTCTATGCTATCGCTATGGCTTTTAGGTGAGTTTTAGAGAGGTTTTTTAGTAATTAGATTGATATATTCAGCTGTGAGACTGACCCAAAAGTGTCGACGTACTTTCTCTCTGAGGTAGAGCTTTGACTGTGGCCACTTAGAGAGATTAGTTAACTTTATAAAAGCACAATGACGGCACAATCAAAGAGCACTGCTATGTCCCAAAAATGCCCAGTATCCTCACAGTTTAATTCCCGTTTGAGCATTATTTAGGAAACTTGTGTAAACCACTGCTGAACTCCAGTGAAACTCAAGCCGTTCCCCGCGCAGAGGAAGTGAAGTGGGGTTGTAACTAAAACGCGGAAGTGGTGCGTGCATAGAGCCCATTATGCTTTACATGTGCAAATATATGAATCTACAGAAAATGACTCAATGCACAATACGTCTTCTTTAACCTTAACCTTAGGGATATTACCCGTGCTATTAGGGTCTCACACTCGCCAAACTGGGTCAGTACATATGTATGTGGAAGGTCCTTCTAAACCTTTTTCATCTGACTGTTGTGTTTAAGCCATATTGGTTGGACCCATTTCCAAAGGGGGGGAAAATGGACTGTTGTAATAGCAATAAACATCAGTCGTGGAGTAATGCTATCGTAGCCCTTTTGTTACGTGTACACACAGTAATGTAGTCATTTTAACATTTCAGAGTGGTTGTAGCTTCATAGATCCATGGTTAATGTGGCTGGATGAGACCCTAATTAGTGTGCACATTATCAACTGTCAATAATAGTGGTTGATAAAGTCCCCCACTACACACAAATACAAACACCTACACACACGTACACACATGCTTCTGAACTGGGACTGAACCAGGAGCGACTGAAGATCTGGATTTACTTTGTACGCAATGTGGCATTTTGTATATATAATGTGTTTTTGTTGGATTCAAAAAGAGGAATCTTTTTTAAGTGCACAAAGTCTGTGCAGAGCGCAGCAAATGACTATTGATGAGTTTTTAAAAAGTGTTTTCTAAAGTTTGAATTTTTTTCCCACTTTCTCCAAAACAGCTCACTTGAATGCCATAAACAAACTGTGACTTGACTGTTATTCTGGGACAGTTTTACAAAAAAAATGCCTTTCAGTTGTCTTCCATGCAGACAAAGAACAGGCGCTGCCATCTTGGGACAAATTATATATTATTTTGTTCAATTGAAAAGAAAACCACAAACAGTTGATGGATTGAACACTTTTATTTTGATCTCAATAAGGGTCAGCTATGATTAGTCTGTTACCACAATTTTTTCATACTTTAAAAAAAAAACATGCTAGCAATATTTCTTCCAAGCAATTTTTCTTTGAGTTGATTTTATGCTTGTGTTTTTATCCGTGCAAACGTACAATATTATAATTACATTTACCATGGACCAAACTTCTATTTTTTACATTTCCTTTCACAGTTGTCAGTATTAATCCACTGCAGTATTCTTTTTCTTTTTTTCATCAGACTTTTGCTTGAATAGTTTCTGTCCAGTTGCGGGACACGTCGGCAGCAGATGTTTCGTAACTTCAGGTGGAAAGTGTCCAAATGTGAACTTGCATCAGCCGCAGCATGAAACTCACTCACAATGAACTCTATCTGTTTGAAAAAAGGCAATATTCTTCAGCAGTGCCGCAGTACGTTAGAATGAAACCTAATCGGATACAAGGGAGAAAGCAGTCGCGTAAAGTGAAATCAAATTCAAAACTTCTTTTATTGCTTTGAACGGTGAGGAAAATGTGCAGAGTTGGAATTTTTAAGCAGCTTTGAAATGGTGCAAGATAAAATATGATAAACTGGAGCAAAACAGGTTGTACTGAGGTGGAGGAGAAAGTTAAAAGTTTAAATACATTTAAAGCGGTACCTAAGTTCCTGGTGGTGGATAATCACATGCATGACTCCATAGAGGAAAAAACATATATTAAAGAAGGCTATTTTCAGTCTAGCAGTTACATATGGGGCTTTAAAGCTGGGATACCTAACTTAAAGATGCAGTCAACGATTCTTTTCCAGACGCATTTTTTTTAAAAGTATTGTTGGATAACGTCCTCAAACCCTAAAAGTAGTCAAGTTATCATGTGTTTTTAAATAGTAATGGAACAGACGCCTATAGTCTCCAAAAATTAATAAACATATTTTTAACCAATAAAAATTAACCAATGGGATTCGTTCATCCCCAACGAACCAATGGGAGTCCTTTACCCCCCTTCACCCTCTTCCTGTTTCTAGCAAGTGTGCGTTATTATTAAAGATCCATGGCGCACCTGAGTTATCGGATTTTCTAAAACCTAAAAGGGCCAAACTGAAAATGCCAATTTCACGTTTGCCATCCACTCTCCCTGTTGTGACAAAAGAAAAGAAAATGCTGGATGTTTGGTTTGGTGGAGAGGCGAGGAGAGGGGTGGGAGTGGTTTCGAGTTGGTGCTACGGCTAAGCTAACAAAATCGCTTACTGCACCTTTAAAGAAAATAAAAATTAAAAATTTGTAACTTTTACATACTTGGAACAGTAACAATTTGACTTTTTGGGTTGAGATCTGATTGGCAGAGTGAGAGTGCTCCTCTTTTTTTCACTTCTCTGCCTGAATAAATCTGATCTAAATATGTGACAGAGGCCAAAAGTAAATGCATAAGAAAACTAGTGATAGAACCAAACTGTCTGACAGTAAGGAACTCGATAGATTTCATATATTATTCAGGCTTGAAAGTTTGGTACCCCAGCTTCAAATTAACCGTAGCCCTTTAGCCCTGTTCCAAAAATCTTTATCATATTCAACCTTTTTTTATATAAACACTATTTTCATCAACTTGCAGTTAAATTACATCTGGGTATTATAGCGACGGTTGACAGCTCAGTATTGTGCACAAATATGGTCCTTTACCACATTCACGGTATTCGTTTTCGCCTCTAATGAGCTGCTCTCTGAGGGCTTGTCATGGCCTTAACTTTTGTACAAATTTGCAGTTCATTAAATTAGACTACAGCCATTTCCAGCTTTTAAAAAACACATTCTGCAAAGAGACCAAATTCAATCTCGCAGCCAGAACCATGCAACGATAATCGCCTTTAGGGACACATTGCAACTTGTTTAAACTGTATTCAATGTGTCATGTGACCAAATGCGACCACTGCAAGCTGCTTTTATAGTAATAGAAAACATGTAATTTTTAGCAAATTCATAAGAAAGAGCTTAAGATACTATTTGATGCTTTGGGTTTATTTGCTATTTGCAGTAAAACCACATTGGAATACGCTTGCAAAAAGTCCCCAGTGTGCACCAGACACTACATAAGTAAGAAAGTTAATATCTGTGAGCTGAACAGGTGAGTGAGGCTATTTCTCTATTGTTTCACTTTTGTCTGTGGAAAAATCTGATTTAAAGCCAAAAAATACATTAACGTTAAAACTATTGATAGAACCAAGCTGTTTTGAGAGCAAGAAACTAGATGGATTTCATAATAGTTATTTTTTTGTGGTTTGAAAGTTCGGTGCCTTTGCCCTTTTTAACAATAATTCTCAGTATTTTTCCACACTCTTTGAAGCGCAGTTATGTCACTGCATGTCAAGCCCCACATTTCGCTACTGTATATATATTTTTGTATGAATTTCTTTGCCGCCGCTGCACAAACGGTAAAGACATTTGGACTTTCTCCTGCTTTCTCTGGACACGCGCCAGCTTTTTAAGTCTGCAATGATTGGTAATGAAAACATCTCAAGTGAATGACTCCATTGTTGATACAGTTGTACAACCAAAGACTTAACATATTTCTCCCCTCTTGTCATTTTGAGATTTCACAATTATTGTAAGGCTGTTGTTTTTTTGTGTGTATTTGTATGCTTTCCCTTGCCTTTGAGTGCATTGCTGTATTTTTGCCTGAAGAATTATGCTGGAAGGTTTAGAAAGGGAGAGGGGAGAGGGGGGAAAAAAGAGAAATCTTGTCTTTATGTCGTGAGGGAGACGTAGACTTGGGGGAGGAGGGTGAGCCAAAATGTGTGTGTTTTTGTGTTATTTCGGAGGAGGAATGTTGAGTCTGCAAGAAGAGCACAGCGGCAAGTCTGGAACCAATCAGAACGGGAAGCAAAAAGAAAAAGGGGAAAATGGGTTGAATACTTAAAGCTGAGGTTCCTAACTTTCACCATAAATAATGCAGATAACTGTCCCAACAGAAAGGGTATGATAAAGCATTAGATAAGAAAGAGCCATTGTTATTTTGTGGTGTGAAAGTAAGGTACCCCTGCAATTTCTGTTCAATTCTATCCTACATTATTTGACTTGTTTTAAGATGTTTTTGATCACTTCTAACTCGTTGAGCACAATCATTATTTCTTACTTAAATGTTTTTGTAGCCAACATAACTCTTAATTCAAGCCAAAGCAACCCGGCCCCAATTTCATATTCAACATTAGTTACAATTGATATAACGCATATATGTATTGTGTTTATGACTGCAATGGTTTCATTGCCAGCTATCAATGTTAGTCTCAGAATCGCAGA